TTCCTGCATGTAATCATCCTCGAATATATTTTATTTGAAACCGGCAATGTCACCTAAAAACGTGTAAAAAGCTTTTGGTACATCAGGACGGATTTATATCCATCTCACACCGGCGAGTTGTTTGTAGAATAATCCTAAGACGGTCTGCTTTTAATCGTTTATTTAGACCGATTTTAAACACTTTTCAGGGAATATACAAGTCGAGTGTAAAAGCTGATCCCAACAGGATCATCTTCTCTAGTGGTGTATTTGGAACATCCTGAAAGGTTGTTGATGCTACCTGGCGAAATTCTTGAAGTCTATCAAATTAACCACACAAGCAAGAGCAATATTAACCGGATGTCTTGAATTCACATATATTTTTAAGGTATGCTGGGCCAATATCTTTGCGTTACAATTCAAGTTCTTGTGCTGATTTGCATGTTACCCCACTGAACTGCAGTCATAGCGAAACTCCTGCTGCTGAAATGTGTCAACTTGCAGAAGCCCATTTGTTTTTTTGAAACAAAGGATCCTATTGTTTGTAAAAAGTTATGTCTCCTGTATAAAAGTACATAACCCGCGATCAGGTGGGATTTTTTTTAGTCTCACATACAAATTAACAAAAAAGGGAAGAACGACTCCCTGATCACAGAGTAACTGTACATGACTGAATTTACTGTAAACTCCTTTCTCCTTAGCGACGGAGTCGGAGTCAAAGTAATCGTACATGGAATCAGAAGCGTATCTAGAGAAAACAGCGTTCTGATTCCGCCTACGACTCTGTCGTTTACGATCAAGTGGAAATTAGGTTGTCGGAGTCGCAAGCAGAAGCCGAAGGTTCACCCTCCCCCCCCCCCCCCCAGTTTCCTCAGATCACAACCCCTAGGTCGGGAACATGAGGGTCGCAAGGCCTTTGCTCACAGAATAACAGATCACGTGTTCAGAAGCATTGAACTAGGAGAATTGTCCTTATGATAATTATATGGAAGCTTAAGCAACGAGGAAGGCAAAAAGTAATAGGGTTTGATTAACAAAACAACACGCTTCCTATTTTCACGTTTTATGGATGACGGGAACAAAAGACAACGATTTTCTTCTTTTTCTTTTGTGATATAGTATTTTCTTATGTTTATAGTCCTCTAGAATTTAACTCCTGAAAAAATCGCCAACCTATGACAACTAGTAAGAAGAGTTGGAATAAGAGCGATGAAATTTGAAACAGCGCGAATCCTGTTTTTGGGTGAAGTTTTCGCTGCCGTTGCCGTCTTTGTTGCTTATGGCCGCTGATGTCAGGGGAAGGAGCTTAATAGACGCTGATCATCTCCTTGGTTCTCAAGACACCCTTTGTTAAGAAGTAACACGTTAAGAAGCCGAACAAAAGCTCACAAATCCCATACAACACACTTCACATCATGAAAGCGCTTATGATGAAGCAACTGGACTTCAGTAGCACAAAATATCAACTAAAAAGTCTTTAGTAACAAGAATTTGGAACGAATGCTCTAAAATTGTACACGTACATTAGCCTTGGTCTCTAGCCTTTGGGTCAATTACCCAAAATTCACAATTGGAAATTTTCGAATCAATTTACAGCAGCTACCTAACTCACACTCATCTCGTCTGTAACTTATCGAACAAATGACAACAACAACTCGTAAATTTTAATACTGGGGTTGCTGTTGTTGTTTTTTGTTCCTTTGTACTTTTTTTTCTTGTTTCTATTGTTATTGTCAATAAAATGCAAAAAAAATACACGTGCACTCATAGTACATGTAAATAAAATCTTTCAAAGATAATTGGTAACTGTTTTCAATCAAACAAAATGCCATTTTTAGCTTTAGAACTTCGATCCACGGTTTTTAACTTTTGACATGGACCAGTTAGGGAAACACCGTCGACACCACTGGAAAAAGCGCCTTAAAATTAGTAATTGGCAAATTTGAAAGTGAAACGTCTTCAGCAAGTGGAGATATAGCTCGGCAAGTTGCGAAATTTTACAGATGTTTGTATGGTGCGGGGACGGTTTGTGCCTCCCTCCCCCACCCCACCATACCAATGTCTGTAAAACTTCGCAGGTTTGAGGAGCCATCTCTCCGTTACTTTTGGTAACAAATCACTTTCAAACTTGGAAATCGTAGTAATTTAAAGGCGCTCTTTCCAGCGGAGTTGACAGATTGTCCCTAACTTCTTTTCCATGTCAAAAGTGAAAAAAAAAAACCGATGGAGGGTCTGTTTCACATCTATATTGTTCGATCAGCCTTTCATCGTTGCCTTTAATTTAAAGCTTTATTTTATATTGCTTATCCTGATCTAGAACACGAGCCGGGTTTTTTCTTCGCTGCTGTTTATCCAAGTTGTCCTTGCAAACGTTGTTCGCTGAACATGCGATTTGTTGTTCTAAGTCTCGCTCTTCTATGCACGCGCACATTGCCGCAATTGTGACGCGACTCGATTACTCCTGAAAGCAACAGTTTGAATCTCAACCCAAGAAGGATTCTAGAAACAGCTTAGTTTACGGACTTCTTAAAATAATAGTTAAAGCAAAGTAAGGTAAAGAAAATGAACAGGATGAATTATATTCGCAGCTGATCCTAGGTCAGTAACTCCCCTGCTCGAAGTCAATGAAAATTCGTGAATATAAGTGAGCGTTGACTTCTATACACACTGTACTGCGAAAGGAAAGTTGTTTAAGCAGCTTCAGAAAACGTTTCTCAAGCACCATTTTATATTTTTCGCAATTCGTATTAACTTGCTTAAACCAATCGGAGTTTATTGAATGTTTTAATAGGAGTTTTGTGATGCGGCGTTTATTCGAAAGAGGCGTTCATTTCAAAACGGTATTTCCTAAATCACTGACAACAGTTACGATAAATCAATTTGTAGATATTATATAAAAAGGAGACACGTGTTGTTTTTTGTTGAGGTGGGATGCTAGTTTTTGGAACGTGTCATCCCTAGTTGTATCTTGGTTTTTTCCGCATAAATTAAAACTGCATTGTTCTTAGCCTTAGATTTTTTTCAATTTTTTTTCTCAAAAACTAAACTTTGGATCATGGCCATTTTATTAGTATTAGAAAAGCACCTCGAATAACCCATTGGTAGAAAGAAGAATGCGAAAAAGCGCGTGGATAAAATTGACTCTGTCTTGTAACAAACGCAATCATTCTTATGCTAACAACCCTGCGAAGATGACCACTTACATGTTAAAAACAAGGTTTGCAAGGTCACCTTTAGCATCGCTTCTATTCAAAGGCCAGGACACTGAGCACACAATAGTAAAATGGCGCCTTGGGGACTATTATCGCTCCCTGCCACCACGGGGATGGGCCAGGTAAAGGATTGACGAATGGTCCTCCACTCAGTTGGTCTTAGTTGCTCTACTTTTACCTTCCGCGTTTGAATACCCTGCTTGCAGATTCTTTCCGGCATGGCTTTCTTAGCTTGAATGTGTCACCTTGTCGAAGGAGACTTGAAGGACAGTTTACCATCAGACATTTGTTCGGGGTATCATCCGTAGTACAAATGTCTTGAAACTGAACTCAAGAAGAAACTTCAGATAAAGGAAGAACATTAATTCCTTGATTTTCTCTCTGCCATTACTGCATCGCGGGAGCCCCTACCAGTTTGAATTGGATATATGTCGTATCCACTTAGAAGAGTATCACGAACCAGTTTTTTGCACTTTCAACAGGTATATTCGGTATACTGGAATCTTCTCTGTACTCACTTGAAACACTGAAGACTCCGAGGAAGAAAGTCAAAAAAACCTGGTTACATTTTCTGCTCTATCTTGATAGTGTCCTCGTCTAATACCGCGTGGCCGCTTATATACCAGCCTAAAAATGTCCCTATGGGAGTTAATTAACACTATGTAATAACCGCTATTTTAACATGTCCACGCAATAACGCTTTAGCTTTGGGCGGAATGCAAAACACCGTTGGTTTTGTTTCTAAAGTATTAGTACCAGGTACTAACGCGTCAACTGCAAAGCGTAAAGTACGAAGAGCCCTAGGCAGTGTGTCCACACTTCTTTGCATCCACGATGATTGTCTTCATTCCATTCACAAGTCATTTAAAGACTGGTTGACTGAAACCTCATGTTATGGAGAGTATGAATTCATCATGGATGAAATAGAAAGACAGCGTATACTAGCAGACCTCTGTACTGAGGAACTAAACGATCTAAAATGGAAAGGTGTAAACAATGTACAGTTAAGACCTGCTAATGCCGCGTTTAGACTTGAACGGTTTACTGAGGTACGAGAGTTTACTTACCCAGGTAAACATTTTCCGTGTGTAAACGCTAACTAATACTTCGGTAAATGCCGCAAAAGACAAAAGAAATTTGACCAAGGTAAAAGTTGTAATTACCCTGTGATCAGGCATGGTTACAGTTGGTAACCAAGGTCAAGATGACAGATATATCCGCTTGCGGCGGTGTAATATGTCACATCCCGCGGTGAGCAGATCGTGCGATTGTCACGTTTCTATCATGGCAGATAACAGAGAAGTCAGGGAACGATTGGATCGATCTTCGTATGGCGAACAATCCGTCAGGTAAAAGAAGGCATTGTATTTTTCATTTTCAGTATTATTTACGGCCATGCCCACACACGTCTAGCTCGTCTGGTATTTTTTAAAGCAATTTGGAGTAAAACCATCCGTTTTCGTCTCGACCTCTTGAGGTGTTGTAACATCAACATCTTACGAAATCTTGACGTTTCTGTTGGCGGCTCTTGAATTAAGAATTAAAAGCAATGGCCACGAAAGCCACCACTTTACTTCTTGAAGCGAGCATGGTTTTAGAATTTCCCGCCAGTTCGATTTCATGACGTAGATAATGCAGATAGCGGGAGGGTTGACAGATCAACTTGAGTTATTTGAGCTAGTGTAAACACTGGACGAATGTACCAAGGTTAAGTAACTTGACCTTAGTAAATTTTTACCTTGGTAAAAGCTCAAATGTAAACACGACATAAGATGTACGCGCTAAATCATGATGCCCTTCACGTATTTCATGAAGTGTATTGGAGTCAAGAGAGAGGCTCTTGAGCTGGAAAGACTGGCGAAGTCGCACATTGTAGATTTAGAAATCGTGTATGCTAAGAACTGTATAAATAGCACTGTGACGGTTGAGGACTTAGTTTTTGGATTCGAAAGCAGGTGACTTCACTAGATTATCACTGGATTGCCAGAGTACTTTGACATCTTGTTGTTTCTATTAAGAAAGCACCATCATTAGCTCAGTTTCTACCTTGAAACATTTTTACAAACCATGCTAATCAAAAGAAGAAAAGTGTGATCTCCCCAGGTATCGTATCATTTGTAGCACAAATATCCAGAAATACCATACATGGAAGTTGTTCACAAGAAGACGCAGCTGGAGGTCTTCAAGCCGAATTTAAATGCTTTTTTTATGTGGTCTGTTTGGATGCCTCTCAGCAGTCGGACTATATGGTGTGTGAATGTACAAAAGGTATGCTCCAACTGTGGTCATTTTTTACTGGCAGGCTAGTGTGAACACGTCCAGTCGTAAGAGAGAAGAGTTACAACATGGACAGTTTGCTCCCTTCACAGGGCTTTAATTCTAGATAGCTCAACAGTTGGTTGGAAAAAAAAAAAGGATGACAGAATCATGGAGTCTATTGTTGTGCAGTGTGTATTGTTGTGCGTGCGGTGTTCTCCCCTAAGGAACTGCAACTGCTTGTCGTTTCGGCAGTGGGCCTGTTAGTCCTGGACGCCAAAACAGGAAATGCACCCCGTACTTTCCTGCGCCATTATCTCTTTTTCATCATTTAATTAAATTTCATCAGTGACAAGGAATGCGTTATTTCTCATTCCGATTCAACTGTTTAACATGAAATCTGGCAAAGTGCAATTGATGTCGAGAGTGAGGTGACCTGTCTGTTTCCTTAACCGTCGTCTGTTCGCCATCGGCCTGAAGAGTGCCATGCCCATTTTCCAAACGGTATTCGGGGTGCATTGGCCAAGAGGCGAATACACTTTGAATATTTTTAAAAGAAAGTGAGATGTTGGTAATGTTTTCAGGAATTTGTTATCGCACACAAGAAAACAAGATAAAAAGGAAATTGCAATGCAAGGTGCAAAAGCTGACAAATTTATTCTGCAATACACCTGTATTGATAGAAATGAGGCCGGATTCAAACTTAACATTTCATATGACCTCACTTTAACATTGATGGGGAAACTCTTGTTTGTGTTCACTTGAAAAGCCAACGTGGAAGGTTAAGAATAGGAACCTCTTTTGGTGAAACCGAGTTTGAGTCGTGCCCACAAAATGAAGCTATAATCAAGCGATAGGAAGTCAAACAGTGTAATTTGGTATTTTTTTATTAGTACGTTTGCTGAATTTTTTGCAATGTTATCTGCTCACTTAAAAGAAAGGTTTTATTTTAGGAATAGAACTACGTATTTAGTAGGCATAGCATACACCATTTGCAAAGCGTTAACGAGCTCCAACAATGAAGTAATAAGCATTGCCGGCGTTGGATCTCTTAATACGACGCACGAAACATATGTCGTGGGTCACAGTTTGACAAATAGACCCCTAATGTGATGCAAGAGCTTTTTGACGTCATCACGAGTGGGCTGTTCACGGAATAGGCTTACTTTCAGTGTAAACAATACAATAGCGACAATAATCCTAGCAGGGCCTTTTTAGGAAAATACGCACCAAGACAAAGGTTAAGCCTGCTGGGAGAGGTTGGTGGAATTATTCCCCGATATTTTAAAACAAGATGCTCGAAAATATTACTTCTGGAAAAAGAAATATATGAAATACCATCAGATAAAGCGATTCAAACTTGTTTTCGGTATCATTATCATTAATGTAGTTGGCTCGAAGATATTAGCACTTGAGTGCTACACTCTAAATTCGAGGGTAAATAAAGTTTATTGATTGATTGATTTGATCATTTGTGCTCTACTGAAAGCAGTTGAATATTAAATTTTATGAATTATAATACACAAAATATAGGGTAACAAAACAGTAAAAATTGTTCCCACTTCTAAATTACGGGGTTTTTTTTAGCTAATACTCCAAATTCTTAATTCCATCATAATACCCCATTCTTAATTCGTTTCCAGAGCATTCTGAGTGAAAATTAGTCCTATGCTCGGCTCAGTCTGTACCAAGTAGAGAGGTCAGTGGGGTGGAACGTCAGTTGGGTGTTGTTCGTGTTGTTGTGGATTGTTTGTACATTTCCTTTGCAAGTCTGTTCTTCTCATCAGTGCCAGTGAAACATCATAAAAAGGTTAGTTTACCGAACGTTTAGTTTGATACAGTCCTTAAGTTTATTCCCAGAAACAAGAAGACATGATAGAGATACAAAAAACGTGGTTAATACCTTCGGCTTTCGAATTCGTTATCAGATTATTCACTGCTTTTATCCAATTCATTCGATTTAAAAAAAAATCATGTCACCTCATAGTTTACCTGTAATCTCCATCTTCAAACTTTAAACTTTTGTGCTGCATAAAGGCGCGTTTTTTTCAAACGATGCTCACTCACTCCTCCCCAACCTGAATTTATTCCTCTATAAGTACACCTAGCTTGACTGTTGTATGCGTAGTTTATCAACCCTTTCCAACATGTTACATTCCTATCCCGGCGAAATTTTTATAATGAATAAATAAGTTACTCATTGACCAAGGGATCATAAACAGTTTCTAAAACATTAGCGCAGAAAAGCTACTCTGGTTCGGATACACAACAGATGTAGGGATTAAATTTACATGCGGACTTTAGTCTGGCATGGATGGGTGCATGTTAGATGCAGGGTCTAATTTACATGCCGACACTAGCTTTAGTGGCCCTTTTGTTTTACAAGGGAGGATTTTACGGTTCGGCGCGTGTACAAGCCATGACATTAGGTTATATTTTAAAAACAAATTAACAAGTTAAATTGCATTTCTGAAATGAATATACATAGTTTGACGATTTTGTTTTCCCCAGAGAGTTTTTTGGTTAGATCTTATGTTCCAGCATCTGATAATTTAGAAAGCAGACATTTCGTCGCATCATTTTAAGAGCGAGTAACAAATAAACACCCCGAGCCACAATACACACAATTGAATGATCGTGATATCTATGCTTGTAGCTGAAGACCGAAACACAGACTGAGAATTAAAGAAGACAGAAGACTTGCTACAAGCTAATTCGTAATATCACAAAATAAAAACAGACTCTAGCAAGGGAGATGTTGGAGTATAAAGCACATGAAGTGGCGGCCATTCTATGTATTTCAACGAGAACTGTGGAAAGTTAAAAGAGCTAAAATTCTGTTATTAAAGTGGCCTATAAACGGGGAGCTTATAACAGTTATAACCAGACTAAAAACTCGTTTTAAGCAAGCAACATTCCTAATTTCGTTTGCCAAGCATTCTGAGTGAAACCCAGTCCTATGCGCGGCTCAGTCTACCAAGTAGGGAGGTCAGTGGGGTGGAACGTCAGTCGGGTGTTGTTCGTGTTGTTCGTAGTTGGTTTACATTTCTTTTACAAGTCTGTTCTTCTGAGCTGTGTGAGTGAAACATCATAAAAAGGTTAGTTTATCGAACGTTTAGTTTGATACAGTCCTTAAGTTCATTCCCAGAAACAAGTAGACATGATAGAGATTCAGAAAACGTAGTTGATATATATATTTTCCGCTTTCGAATTCGTTATCAGATTATTCACTGGTTTTATTGCAATTCATTCGGTTTCAAAAAAAATCATGTCACCTCATACCTGTCATCTCCATCTTCAAATTTTTAACTTTTGTGCTGCATAAAGGCGCGTTTTTCAAACGATGCTCACTCCCTCCCCCCAACCCGAATTTATTCCTCCATAAGTACACCTAGATTGTATGTGTACTTTATCAACCCTTTCCAACATGTTACATTCCTGTTTCGGCAGAATTTTTATAGTGAATAAATAAGATACTAAACGAACGTTTAGTTTGATACAGTCCTTAAGTTTATTCCCAGAAACAAGAAGATATGATAGAGATACAAAAAACGTGGTTAATACCTTCCGCTTTCGAATTCGTTATCAGAATATTCACTGCTTTTATTGCAATTCATTCGGTTTCAAAAAAAGTCATGTCACCTCATAGTTTACCTGCATGTAATCTCCATTTTCAAATTTTTAACCTTTGTGCTACATAAAGGAGCGTGTTTGAAACGATGCTCACTCCCTCCTCCCCAACGCGAATTTATTCGTCCATGAGTATACCTAGCTTGTATGCGTAGTTTATCAACCCTTTCCAACATGTTACATTCCTGGCCCGGCAGAATTTTTATAATAAATAAATAAGTTACTAATTGACCAAGGGATCATAAACAGTTTCTAAAACATTAGTGCAGAAAAGCTACTCTGGTTTGGATAGACAACAGATGTAGGGATTAAATTTACATGTGGACTTTAGTCTGGCATGGATGGGTGCATGTTAGATGCAGGGTCTAATTTACATGCCGACGCTAGCTTCAGTGGCCCTTTTGTTTTACAAGGGAGGATTTTACGGTTCGGCGCATGTGCAAGCCATGACATTAGGTTATATTTTAAAAACAAATTGACAAGCTAAATTGTATTTCTTAAATATATATACACAGTTTGAGGATTTGCTTTCCCCAGAGAGTTTTTGTTTAGGCCATTCACTATCTTATGTTCCATACTTATCTCTGCTATTTCCCCGCTTCTTCAGCATCTGATAATTGAGAAAGCAGACATTTCTTCGCATCATTTTAAGAGCGAGTAACAAATAAACACCCCGAGCCACAATAAACACAATTGAATGATCGTGTTATCTATGCTTGTAGCTGATGACCGAAACACAGACTGAGAATTAAAGAAGACAGAAGACTTGCTACAAGCTAATTCATAATATCACAAAATAAAAGTGGTGGAATATGTTAGAGTATAAAGCACATGAAGTGGCGTCCATTCTATGTATTTCAACGAGAACTGTGGAAAGTTAAAAGAGCTAAAATTCTGTTAGTAAAGTGGCCTATAAACGGGGAGCATATAACAGTTATAACCAGACTAAAAACTCGTTTTAAGCAAGCAACATTCCTAATTTCGTTTGCCAAGCATTCTGAGTGAAACCCAGTCCTATGCGCGGCTCAGTCTACCAAGTAGGGAGGTCAGTGGGGTGGAACGTCAGTCGGGTGTTGTTCGTGTTGTTCGTAGTTGGTTTACATTTCTTTTACAAGTCTGTTCTTCTGAGCTGTGTGAGTGAAACATCATAAAAAGGTTAGTTTATCGAACGTTTAGTTTGATACAGTCCTTAAGTTCATTCCCAGAAACAAGTAGACATGATAGAGATTCAGCAAACGTAGTTGATATATATATCTTCCGCTTTCGAATTCGTTATCAGATTATTCACTGGTTTTATTGCAATTCATTCGGTTTCAAAAAAACTCATGTCACCTCATACCTGTCATCTCCATCTTCAAATTTTTAACTTTTGTGCTGCA